CAGATGCTATGAACAAAGGAAGATCCATCGCTGTAGGCTGCAGTGACTTGAGAGGGGGAGGAGAGAAAGATGTAATGGAAGGACAAGATAATGCACAGCACTCCAGAAGGATGGAGGACAGCCTAGGGCAGCAGGGGAAAGCAAGAAAATAATCTGGGGGTGTGGATAGAAGAGTTAATTTTATTCAGAAGGGGGACCCTTGGCAGGTTGTTTATGCTACAAGCCTTGCATTGTGCAGGCAACATTGACTCGACTCAGTATATATTATATATGCATACATAATATATATTAATACATATTAAAAATGAAACTGAAAGGGGGTAGGAGAAGGACCCTGGAAGAGTTAGTGGGTAAGACAAAGTGTGGATTTGATCAAAATAAAATCTATTCATATATGATGAAAAAATAACACTAAAATAAAAACTTTGTAAAAACCTAAGCCTTTAAATCAAATCAGATCCAGGTCTATTCTGGCTTAAAATACCAGTATCATCTCTGTGTTTATGAAAATACTGGACATTTTATCCAACCCTGTGAGGTCCCGTGGATGCATCCCAGCCCTCAAGCTTTGGAAAAGGGGAAACTGAGACCCAGAGTAACTTTTATAGAGAGGTTATTTTTTTCATCCTTAAAAGCATAATTTTTATTGGATATTTTATTTATTTACATTTCATGTGTTATCCCCTTTCCCCATTCCTCTCCCCCACCAGGAACTCCCTATCCCATCCCCCCTCCTCCTGCTTCTATGAGGGTGGTTCCCCACCCACCCACCCCCACCTCCCTGCCCTCGAATTCCCCCACACTGGGGCCTCCAGCCTTCATGGGACCAAGGACTGCCTCTCCCACCAATGCTGAACACTATGTAGTGGAGGATGGCCGTGTCGGGCTCTGGGAGGTTATTTTTTAATAAACAAATTTATGTAATATTTTTGCTACAGATTTACCTGCCTTTGGTTTAAAATCCTTAGCACACCTTTCCAGAGCTGCTTTCTCATGCGAGCAAAGCCCCGGGGGCCTCTGTTATATAACTCAGTTGAGGCTTTTGTTTGGTTGGTTTTTTTTTTCCACAGTGACCCATTTTTAAACTGCCCTATTTAATGCTGGAGGAACCTATTCTGGGATTGTTTATCTTCTAAATTGCTATGGGACCTTAATGTTAGTCTTCAAATGAGATCCGCTGAGAACCAGGAGAAGAAGGGGGACTTGTTTTCCTCTTCCCTAGCTGCTGGGGCCCAGCTTCAGGCCCGTCCCTGGACCATGGGTCATCTGGAAGCGTTTCTGCCCACACAGAACATATGGGGAGGGAGTACTCAATAGCAGGTAATTATTTTGAGCCAGGCACTGCCCTGATTACTGAATCTTACTTTCTTTCAAGAGCATAAGCAGTAAATATCGTTACATTCACCTTATAATCAAGAAAACTGTGGCTGAGAGACCAAAGGCTCACCCAGGTCCAGCCACAGGTCAGAAAGGAACCATCCCCTCCACTGTGCTCTAAGGCAGAATGGGAAGAGCCACACAGTAAAGGGAAACCACTACTAATTGTCAAGCGAGAGGCAACCTCAAGTTGCCTAACACATCCCTACTTCCATTGGGTGTGGCAGTTGTAACCAACGTGGTCCACGCATTTTCACACAACCCTGTTCCTTGTAACAACCCATGGGGAGGCAATTCAAGTCCACCTTGCAGTGAGGGGTCTTTAGATATGCCTAGAGAGAGTAACTAATCTGTGCTGGGTCCCACAGAGGCAGAATTAATATTTCAACGTTTTCTGTTTCTGTGCAAAGCCCCCACACACACACTCTTATACTCCCAGCTTAAAAGGAGCAATGGGCACAAAGCTATTCAGTTTATCACTTATAATTCTGGGAGGATCTTGATGAAAGAACCTTACAAATGGTACTCAGCAGAGAAGGGCTGGTCCTGAGGCAGGAACTTGGAATATGTGCACAAATTTCAGTCTCCAAGAAGGTTGACAAAAATGCACCTGGAAGGCTGGAACACATAAGTCTCATGATGCATTACATTACAGGAGAGCAAAGGACCCTTCCAGCTGTCACCACCAACTGCTAGGCAGCAAGGTTCAGTCCCACAGGGGAGCCTGGGCCAAGGTCAAATTACCCAAAGCCATGACTAAAGTCAAATACAGTTTAAAATGAGTTAAAAGGCTATGTCATCCAGTTTAGAATTTTATAAAAAAAAAAAAGTTATAAAAACAAAGCAAAAATACCATTTAGAGCCAACAGGGGCAATCCAAGATGGAAGTCTCAAGAGAATGCCCTCAGAATGACCAGAGGGACTGGGAAGCAACGGACAGGGAACCTGGTTCAATTCTCCAAGCCCTGTCACAGAACAGGTAGGTATTTATAACACATATGAAAGTCTTTCATATTCCAAGCCAACTGTGTGTGTTTTGGAGAATGGAGATAGAATCAGAGAGGGTCACAAAAGAAAGAGAAAATTTAAAACAGTGTCTTTTAACTCCTTGGGGTATGGTGGTGGGGCAAGCGTTTCCTCACCTGATGGAGTCATGGAGAAATTTGACTGCATGTGGTTTTAATCTTCCGTGCTGACTTTGGACTTGACCTAATGACACTGTCTGGAGCCCTTGCTGTTATGGGGCATCTGCTGACAGCTCAAGGGCCAGAGCTAATGTGAAGAGACAGAAGCTTCCAAGAAAAGTGGTTTTGTTTTAAAAATAAAAATAGCCAGAGGCAGTTAGTGCAGCAAGAGGACCCAGATGCAGGTTTTCAGGATGGTTTTCAGGAAAGGAAAGAAGGAAGCAGGGATGGAAGGAGGAAAGAGAGGGAGAGGGGAGAGGCAGAGGGAAGGAGGAAGGAAGGGAAGGAGAGAGAGAGAGTGGGAGGGAGGGTGGGAGGGAAGAAGGAAGGAAGGAGGGAAGGAAGAGAGAGTGAACACATTTTCTTTTTCCAGCTGCTTCCACTTTTATCCCATTCCAAGATACCCAAGTCTTTCTTGCTCCAGGGAAGAGTCAGGGCCCTTTGTATATCATAGCCAAAAACATTAAAAATGTTTGTGGGCTACAGTGTAAGGTGTGATACATGCACACATTGTGTGTTTAAATCAGGGCAGATATGTCTATCTCCTCATATGTTCATTTTCTAGCCTTTTACAATACGCGGTTCATCCTTGTCTGTCTATCATCACCCTACTGTGCAATAGCATCTTCTATCTGCTGCTTAGCATCTATGTCCCTGCCCCTTTCTCCCTCCTACTCTGCCTAGCCTAGGCCACTTTCTCTTCTCAACTTCCATGAAAGCACTTTTCTATATTCCACAAGATCATGTACACCCTGTTCTTCTGAGCCGATGGGGATTGTTGTTGTTGTTGTTGTTGTTGTTTTGTTTATTCTTTTTTATTGTTATGCTTTCCAGCTCCATCCATGTTGCTGCAAGTGACAGAACAGTGTTCTTGGATAGCTAAGGAGTATTCCACTGTCCCTGTGTACCGCACTTCCTCTACCCATCCATTTCTTGGCCATTGTGAATGATGCTGTAGTGAACACAAGCGTGCAGGAGCCTCTTTAGCAGCCCGACTTTGTTTCCCACTGGAATGTACACTAGATCCCCAACAATAGGATTGCTAGGTCGAATCATAGCACTATTTTTAGTGTTTTGAGTAACTTCTGCATTGTTTTCTTTTTTTACAATGGCTAGAGTGCTTTATAACCAAGGTAGGCTCTTAAAAGAGAGGACAACAGGTCCTGGAAAGAATACATGGTGGGCAAAAAGCTAGTGTTATAACTGAATATCAAATGGCCCCATGACCTTCTATATTGAAGGCTTGGTCCCCAGCTGGCAGCACTATTTTGGGAGGTGATAGAAACCCTAGCTGAGCCCACTGGAGAAAGTAGGTCACCAAGGGGTGCATTGTTGGAGGATTCCCTCCTCTCTCTCTCTCTCTCTCTCTCTCTCTCTCTCTCTCTCTC